ATTGATGCATCTTGTGCATTATTATCAGTAGGGACAGTGTTCATTAAAAAATTAATATTGAGGGAGGCCTTTGATATAACGTTTAATATCAGTATCGAATGTTATACCAAGTGGAAAGATATGGGGCCTTTGCAATAAAAAGGGGGGAAACTGCCGAGAACAATTAATTTTACTTTATATGCTAAATATGATTTTTATGCTGAAATATGTTCAAATTTAGCATTAACTCACTTTTGATTTTTCCGGCTGTTTCCCCCCTTTCTATTGCAAAGGCCCCATATTATTGGCCTGTTCTTGGGGGAGCAAATTATTTTTCAAAAGTACGTTTTGAAAAGCAGCGCACGATTGAACTAGAGTATTAACCGTCGTAATGAAGGACTTGAGGCGGTTCTGATGCATGGCATTAATATTTCTAAGGCCTTCAATGGTTTTTTATTGTTTAAGAATGGTGAATACTGATGAGTCGATGGTAGGTTCAACTTCCTCTTCCATTTCACCAGCATTAAGATTTTGTATATCAGCTTCTACTGGAGTGATGACTTTGATATTGAGCAATTGTTCAACGGATTCAACTCTTTTAATTGTAAACGCTAAATTGCTCATTATGATGCTCAAGTTTTCATTAAGTTTAATAAATTGGAATTTGACGTATTCTTTGAAATCATCATCATTGTTAGCATGCATGAATTTGCCTGCTTTGATACCTTTATATACGTGCTATTGGGTGTAAGACAAATAGTATTATCGACAAGGATTTCTTTGTTCATATTTGGTGGGACGTCATCAGACCATGAACCAGATTGAGGAGTACATTTGTTTTCAGAATGTGAAGGTGGTTTATTTCAGATATTGTCGTTGTTATTAGGATTGTTGTTATTCTTATTATTTTTTGGTGGGGTAGATTGTTTATCGATATTCGTGGTTGATGGTGGTTTAGTAATGTGAGCAAAAGTAATGTCCGGGTTAATTGCGCCTCTCATTTTTTTTGGTGAAGCCTTATAATTTGAGTATTGCGTCGGTTGGAATCTCTAATAAAGATTTTGTATGTTTCGATCAGCTGGAGATTTCCTATGTTGTAGACATCCATTAGCTTTGTGATTTGGGGAAAAGCAAATCGCACAAAGTTTGGCCTTTGATTTGGTCCAAGTCACGTGTTTGCATATATTGTAAGATTATCATTTGAAATTGCAGCCTCAAAATCGTCTGCAATGGCAAAGTAGAAAAATGCGTGTTGTAAATTTTGGTAGTTCGACTGGGCTTTAGGGATAACCTAAGCATTAGCGTCAACTATCATTCCAATTTATTTAAGTTGTTATCTAGTCATGAACCTAGGAAGACCGGCAAGTTTTGCTGAAAATTTTGAACATGCCAGAATTTCTGCACGAGATTGATCACATATATAGATTTTGACCATGTTGTTAAGTACAAAGAGACCATAACAATCCTTTAATCCCTTGAAATTTGCGTCTTCCACAAAGGTAATGGTGGCCTGTTGCCACATATTTTTGGTTTCCATTGTAAAATGAACGATCATTTCAAATTTGGCAAATTTCGTTTTAATCCTGTGTTCTGTGGAATTTAGGAGAATTTCTGTTATCCTAATCGACCTTGCAGGGACATACGGTTGTGTATGTATTACATTGAGGGGTAAGAACGTGCGACTTTCAAATTGGGCAATTGAATTGAACATGCATGATCTCATTCTTTCTGGTTATGAAAGGAAATTTTCAGGATACGTTGTGATTGGTCCTTTGGATGTTTGGCTAAGGTCGCTCCTGAAAACGAATCATATTTGTCGAAAAACAAATTGACAACAGAAAAGACTTTTTGCTGTGGTGAAGTTCCTGGAAATTCTTTGAGGAGAAAATAACTGTGGAAAGAAGGCTTTTGATATTCAAAAGCTTATACTGAATACGTATTTTTGTCCAAGAATTTTTCTGATGCGTTAAAACTGGTGTCACCATCGAGAGTTGTGGTAGTAATTTCTGGGTTTCTTCTGTAATTTCTTTTTCTTTGCCTTTTTTCGAAGGCGAAGGGTCAAGTTCCATCAACACTACTGGTTCTGGAGGCTCCGTAGTTTGATAGGTGGGTGGAATATCCACAGTTTGCATTGTATTTTGTTTTTTGGCTTTTTGCGTTATTAATGGTGAAGACAAATGTCCTCATTGTTTTTGTTTTTGCTCGCTGTTTTTTCTGGTCATTTTTTGGATAAACAGGAGAGAGTTTTTATTCCTTAAACCTATTTTTTTTTTTAAGTGTGGTAGTTTCGCAAAATCTTTATTGATAATATAAAATATAAAAAATTACATAAAACAGAAGTTACGAAAATCTCTATTTAAAATAATAAAAAATACTATTCTAAATCAAAACCGACCCTGCACTTTCCCAGAATCAAATATAAAATAAAAAAAACTTTACATTATCACCTTTCACATTCCTTAAACCTATTCCAGACATTAAAGCCCTAAACAGTAGTGAATTTCACTATTAATCAGAGTTCAGACATCATTTTTTCTTTTATGTTTTGCAAGAATTTGCAGATTTAAATTGGCGAGCGTAAATATTGGATCAATAGTGTCTTTTTATTGTTTTAATTATGATATATCTTATTGAAATATATTCTTTTATTCTTAAAATGGAAGTCCCTATACGCGCATCTAAGTACAGAAAACCCACGAGCTTGATCATTCAGTATATAAAGTGGTTGAAGGAAAATGTGCTGATTTACTAGCTTGGTCTTGGGAGACGGGAGAGAAAATTTTATTGGAAAGCAAGCAGGACTACCTACTAAACCTGACTTAACAAAGCTCTCTATAGACTCTTTCAAATTTTATAGAATTGTCTGAATGTCCGTATATTAAATGCAATGAAAATCGGAGATGTTAGTTACACTAATCATGCTGTTTTTGGAATACTTGGATATTTGTTCGAAGTTAAGATGTTAATTATATGAAAAGATGGTATATATATATATGAGGAGTTTGGGAGTTTCAATGTAGCTTCTCATTTGAAAAATATTCATATGATGAAATCGAGAATATTAAAATTATTAGAATTTATTGTAAGTTTATTATCATCATATTTTTTTGTTGATTTTTTCATTCTAAATTGAATTAATTATGTTGTAGATGGTCATTAAGACGGAATTGAAATATATTGCGGAAATAGAAAATGATAATTATAAAGCTCAGATCCTGAAAAGAAAATTTAGTGATTTTATTCAAACAAAGCCATTGCCAATAAAGGTTGCAAAGGTTAATAAGTGAATATGTAATGGATCCAAGGCAGTTTCTTCTGCTGAAGTTTGGAAGCATTTTTTTTTCCAGGCATATATATATATATAAACAGCAATTTTATTCGTTTTCAGCTTCATCAGACTTAATATTAAGTGTCCTATATTTACTTTGATAAACCAATCATTTAACAAAATTTTATTTCGCCCACATCGGGCTTTATCTTTTTAACGTGTGGATAATCATTGAAATGGTCAAAAGATTTGACCTGATTTTGTAGATAGAGCTTTTGATATTGTGCTTAAAACAAGTTAAATTTGAATTAATTCTACATGTGGATGAATGTAATTGTATCAGAAAAATAAAATGTTTATATGTTGATTTATTGCCATAGTAAAATTTCGCATACATAATGGCGTTTACTTTATTGCACAGACGTCAATGTATTGAAATTTTTCTCTTAAAAAGTGATTGGCATTCTAAAACGGAACACGCATGTGATTTTTTTTCATCGGATTTTTCCAAATGTGTTTTCTCAGCCTAAGATAATATTATTTACTGATTTCTGGACATGAACGAAGTGAGTTGACAGGTGATCTAACTAAGGATGAAACTGAATATGTAATTGCTAAAATTTTAAAGCTAAAGGGTTAATAATATGCGCAGTTTGTCCAGACCCAAAAATAATCTAGTCATATGCTGATCCTGTTTCTACGCATTTTTGACGAGCCTGTCCAGACTCTACCATCAGAAAAATAATATATTTTTTTACACATGCATTTTATTCATAATCATTTTTCCAAATTTCCATTATGTTTATTCGGCTAAAGAAAAAATCTGAAACCTGTCATCTCGTGATTTATGGAAACTTGCCAGGATTAAAATTATTTAGTTATTATATTATCTCGAACATATTTAACCAAATTATGTCATTGGAAATCCCTTACATACTTGTAAATATATATATAGCCAGATGTGGACCTTATATAAACACTTGATATGCTTATAATCGAATAAAAAAATGAATGATATTATATTATAATATACTTGCTATAATGCTAAATATTCGCTAAAATGCTATAAATCACTACATTATTATAAGTCTTATTTATTGTGCATAATCATAAAACATGACTAATATTGATATTATTTTAGATGAGCGTTTTAATAAGGTTGTACCTAAACCTGTTAATAATCGCCCTGGATGGGATATGAAATATGTTAGTACATATATAAGGAATTATTGTTTTGGTACCAATATTGAGAAAATAATCGAAATAGAGTGAGAATATGATACATTATCAGTTGTGAAGCCAGGCCAGTCTTTAGTTGGATGGACAATGAGTGTTAGAATTTAACTACAAGAATTATTAACCAATCAAAAATTTAGTATATATTACCGACACTGCTTGTTTGCAGGGTTTAAGAATGGTCAGATAGTTAATTCTATCTATCATTAGCCCAAAATCCATAAGTGTAATATGGCTATTTGTTTCGATTGCTGGAAATTGGTAAAGATTACTGATGTAAAACCAAAAAAAAAAATATTTGAATGAATGATGCAGATATGAATATAAGATTAAATCTGAGGACTTGATGAATTATCATTAGGATAATAAATGTTCTAAAGCTAAATCCCAAGATATAAGTGTTCGGCTTATCCAAAAAGCTTATCAAAATTACAGGAAGAGGCCAGTTTCATTAGCAAAACAAGTTTGAGAAGCAGTTAGAAATGATAACACTCCTAAAGAAAAGAAGTTTCTTAAAATGCCTGGTAGAGATTATCTTTGTATTATGAACATGAATATATGCTATTCTATTGATAAAGGATATAGACCTTATCATGTTCTGCAAGATCAACTTTATAATTATATAAGTTATTCTGAGCATAAGAGACGCCAATTGTCTGAAAGACTATCTCGTCATGAATTAGTTGAAAAACAGTTACAGCAAGAGATAGCTGAGAGACGATTTCAACAAGAATTAGCTAAAAGACAATTGCAATAAGAATTGGCTGAAAGACAATTATGACAAGAATTAGCTAACAGACTTTTATGGCAACTATTATCCGTTGAAAATATCATGTTTAAGATAAATAAGGTTCCTTCTCCTTTGTCACCAAAGTCTTTTGTATTAATTCAGCATAATGCAAGTGCATCTGAACTGAAGTATTTCTCAGATTATAAAACACAATTTTATACTAGACTCCTTCCTCCAAAAGGTCCTAGACCACAAATATGATATCTCAATTCTGTACGAAAAAATGCATAAATAATTAATATGTATAACTATTCACATTTTTTTCTTGACAAAAGTGATCAGCGTAAACAATTGTTCACGCATACATAATTTTTTTTATTTCTTATGAGGAAATATAGCTTAAGCGAGAAGTTCAATAAAGCAATCATAGGGATTCTTGATTCCTAAATACCATAATTATAGTTTTGAAAATTTCTATACAATAGTTATCTAGCGAGCTTACAGGAATTATAAGAAAAGACCCGTATTTTTGTCAAAGTAGGTTTGGGAGGTGGTGAGGAATGATAGTACTCCTGACAGGTGAAAGTATTTAGGCATTATTCTTTATGATGAGGCTTATTATTATATTAATAGAAAACTTATAAAATTTAACTGGAAAAGTGATTATTTTAATATGCTATATAATCATACCCTTTATTCTTCTATAACTTGGTGAAAAGAAAAAAATCAATTATTATATCGATTAGGTTAGGTGCTCTTTGCTCGTACTAGAAAAACATTACACAAAAGGTTATATATCAAATTGGTATACTACGATAAAATGGATACAGAATCCTGAATATTATCTTGATACTAAAAAAAGTCTAGTTATTACATTAGTAGTCAGAATGGAAATGTTATCGTAACTCAATTTACATATTAATATCCCGCCTAACAGTAAGGGCAGTGACAGATATTACCTAATATTTTAGGGGTGAGAGAGATAACAAAGATCTTAGGTTATACATAATATGTCTATCACGTGATAATATTAATCATGTGATTATCATTTGATAAAGTGGCTTAGCAAAATTTATTAAATCACATACATTTAAGTCGCATACACATAAAATTTACTCATTCTCCATCCGAATTACAAGCCCATAGTTCAAGTTCTATTTCATTATATGACCTCTTTTGTTGAGTTAGGAGAAGAGAAAAATCGTCGAAAAATGAGTTTTGTTGTTTCTTGGGTCATCCTCGAATAGTAGAATGCATTAATTGTTTATGGTTTACTAAAAATGTGAAAGTGGGAAAATATTTTTGATAAATAGGACAGCAAAGTCGTAAGCAGGGTTGGGAAAGTACAGTGTACAAATATAATATTCGTACAAGTATAATACTAGTATATTGTATTACTGTATTTAGTACAGTAGTACAATTATATATTTAATGAGAAGTACATTATACTAGTACAATTTTAATACAATTTTAGTACATTTTAGTACATTTAGTACATCGGTTTATGTTCAGTTCATTTACATTTATAAAAGATAAAATG